CATATAAAATTTACCAAAATTTTCATCATAAGGTATTAAAAATTTTTGACATTCCAAGTCTTATTTCTCATTAGAATCCTTATTGGGTTAGGATCTATGTGCTCTACATTCGCTTAGGATTAATTGTTATGTCAAATTATTGTTGTGCACGCAGTTTTATCAAGAAATGTTGAAAATTAGGCCTCTTTTACCATACAAAGACTTAATGTCCATAGGAATGGCGAGGGCTTCAAAAAATTTCCCCATCTACGACTAAGCAACTTTTGTTGCGATATTTTGAAAATTCCAATTTTTTAACAAAATAAAGTTTTCTAGGAGAAATGATTTAAAAAGTGGTCCGATCCGAAGCGTTTTCAACAGCATTCGTGCTTGAATCAAACCACATCAGTGAATCAAATTTTATCAAAATATTTCACAAATTGCGAGCTTGAACACAAGAAACCAAGACGGGACGACGGACAGACAAGCTTTAAAATCAATTTCCAAATCGATCTGTTCAATTAAAAGTTGGCCTATTTCAGCCCTCCTGAGTATTAAAATCGTCTGCAAAAGCTTAATATACCTTGTACCACAAGTGACGTAGAATATATTAATAATGTATGTCAACAGTTTAGCATGCCAGAGAAATACTCGCTATTAAATACTCCGTGCTATTGCATAAATACCCTCAAGCGTAAATTAAGCGATCTGAACTTTAACTTCTTACAATGATTAATGATTAACGGAATATTTAGGGAACATTGAACGCTCAACGCTTTAATCGAGAGTTTGTGTAATTGATATAGAGGCAGACTTTCTTTTCTTCTTTCGACATTCCATAGGTCTTCTTACAATGCTGCATACCCTCCTTGTGCAGCGAACTGACATGACATATAAACATTTATAAAAAAAAAAATTAAATAACTAAATATTAATGAAGAGAGAAAAAGAGAAGTAAAAATGGACTTTTTTAAAAATATGTAAAATAAGTAATAACAATACGAACAATGGAATAAAAATGAATATTTGTTAATTAGTTTATTAATTAAATAGTATATTAATGATTTAATGTTAATTAGCGTATAAAATATCACAGCAGATATATTATTAATACAAAAGAAAAAGAAAACACATACATATTAATGAATTTCTTTATAAGAACCACAGAGTATAATAAACGAAAACTAAATAAAAATTTAAATATAATGAAATCAACAATCAATTGAAATTAATCAAGAAGAAGAATTTTAAAATGCAAATTTTCATACTAATCGCATTGTTTTCTTGGCTTAGCCAAGACACTGAGCCACTGTAAGCCAGACTAAACTATTCCCTTTATTTCGGTAGTATTAGAAATATAGAGGACTCTTTATTCAAAAAAGAATTACGGTTTACGGCTTATACACAAATAAAAAGCATATGAGAAGAATTTAACGTTGGCGCTGCAAATAGCAGAGAGAATTTAGCGTTGGCTTTGCTTGCCTAGTTTTAGGTGTAATCTTTAATTGTAATTAAATAATTGCGTCTACCTCTAGTGGTCTAATAATTGAGATTGCTTATACGTCCTGTTTCTTTTTAGTTCTATCTTCTTTTTCATGACGAAATATGTTCATATATGTTTATAGTAGGTGTGTGGAAGGGAGGGAGAGAAGGAGTATCAGTTTATTAAGGCTAATCAAAGAATAATCTTTCCATTTTTCTTCGTTTCCTATACTGTCCGAAATAAGGGATTTTAGAAACGCACCTTAAACCCATACACAACGAACATAACCAAACATTTTCAACAAAGCTAAAAAAGGAAAGAAAAGCCACAATATGCTTTATTTATTTATTTATATGCTTTATTCACTACTACTGTTGCTACTTTTTGTTGTCAAATTGCCAAATTGTTTGTATAGAATTTCAAGAGATGTTTTCTATTGATTAGCAGAGAATTTGCATAGTGTATTACGTTCGTTCTGCAAATAGCAGACAATTTAGCTACAGCAACAGGAATGGCTAGTTTGATTTTCCCAATGACAAATCAAAGCTGTTGAAAAAGTGTTAGTTGCTATAAGCTCCAACTAGACGGATGCTTTTGGTTATATTTTTGGTTATTCGTTGCGTTTTGGGTCATTGCATGGTGTACTTGTTTCAACAGCATTTTTAAGGAACTCCCCTATTTCGGGTGTTTTATGGTTGTCTTACTTAAGGATAATGAAAGCTTTTTTGCTTTCAATCACGCAAAAATGAATGATACATCTTAATAGAGTTCTCTATTATTTATAAGATCCTCTTACCTATATGAAAATATTTGTAGCCTTCAGTAAGTCCACCGCCGCAGGACCAATCCATCTTATTAATTTCGTCAAAATATTTGCAACACGCAGAGTTAAGTTGCACAGATATCCCATAAAGTATGCACGTTTTTTAATCAGCACTAAATACGGAATCAACGCAGGCATGCCCGTCGGTGGGAAACATTTTCTAACCATTTTGCTACGATAGATCTGCACGGATGTATAGAGATACCTGTGCAGAAGTGGCAAACATAAGCCGCGCCCAACCCATGTTATAGAACCTCAAATATTAGGTCTCGTTTTTGTTTAGTTTTTTAATCTTTTTTTAACATAAACGTAGTAGATATAAAAGCTTCGGTCATAGCCGACTAAAATATTGTTACTAGTTTCATATATATGTATATATATATAGCCCTACGAATTGATTATTGATATTGGCGACTTATTAGCATTAGATTTATCTATTATTAGGCTCTGTAATTCTATTCGGATGTTTTCTTGATTTAAAACATGTTCATATAGTTTGTAAAAGAAGTATATTTTAATTGTACATCTATATAGCGCAAACGCTCCAGAAGTAACCGCCTTACGAACAAGAATTGCTACTACATATTTTGACTTTCCGACAGAAGAAATGTCTGTTATCGCTTAGATCACACACGCTAAAAGTATACCTACCTCAATTGAAGCAAGCAAGCCAGATTGTAACCTTTGTATGATTTTAATACGAACAGGGGATCGGGCTAGGATCAAATCTTTCTTTGGTTACGTTAATCTTCACAAGTCCTTACTTTTTTCCCAAATGTATTAGAATTTTGCAAAAGTTTTGATCTCCGTTTCACTTGAAAAGGTGAAGTTTGTTGAGAGAAATTGGTACATATGTACGAATGAAATTGTGTTTAATACTGTTGGCGACTGTTATTTACGTGATTGCTCTCTTGTAGCATTTTTGTGTACATTTTTCTTGATTTTGTTCTTCCAACTTCTCATAAAACATGGAAAAATTATTCAAGCAATATTCTCGAATCTCGATTTGTCCATTTATCGTAAGCTGAATGAGTCATGCTTTTAAAAACGAATCGTTTGCATTCCTTTAAGTAATTTTCTATTTTCCCTAAAGTAATCAAACCCGCGCGATTTTTTCGATCTTGTGTCACCTCTTGCACGATATTCGTTCGATTGATCGGTTGTTTTCGCTTGCTGTACGTAGATCCAAGTCTAATCTCCCGTAATAATGCGGTTCACGACGTTCTGAGGGTTGTGTTGTTTCACAGACATTGTAAAAATCGGAAAATAACTCTGCGAAGCCGATCGCAGGTAAAACGCAAGAGTTCCTCATCATTTTACTCACGGAAACAATCTATCATTCTTGCAGAGAGGTCTGCATAGCCACGTATGAAATTTTCGTTTGAAACAGCTGTTTAGCAGCGGTATTTAATTAGAAATTATCATTCATTTCAATGCCATTATGTTAACTTGAATTGAAAAAAAAAGTCGCTTATTGTCCGAAACGACATAAAAAGTCTTTAGCACAGAGTTGCTTTTAATTAATACGATAAATGGTCAATAAAAAATCTTTATCGTTTGTTGTGTCAGTTATATGGAAAAAAGCGACAAAGCCGTACAAGATAGCAACCAAGAAACTAATGTTTGTTACCTCATCAAAACCCTTTTTCCAGCTAAATCCAAACTTTCAATACTTAATTTATTTAAAGCCATTTTAACTAAAGAAACTTTGTTTCCTTTATTTTTCTTTTCTCGGATGTTGATTTCGAATGGAATTTGCTAATGAGAAACGAACAAGGAAAATACGCGAACTAAACTTATTTAATTTTACAAGTTAGCCTAAAATTAGACCGCCATAATTTTTATTATCAAATTAAACAAAGCCCTCGCTAAATTCCCTGTTGAAAGGCAAAGCACAGAGTCGCTTGTAATAAATAAGAAAAATAGTCAAGAAATGGCAGCTCTGTTAAATGGTAACGCCACTGTGTTATCTAACGGACCAAATTATCTAATCTCTTATGAAATATATCTTAGCATAGATTCGAACCGAAAATTTTTCAAGCGAAAAAGCCAAAAACTGCAAATAAGACGGAATACTGCGTTTGGAACATTATTGGAAAAAAAAATCTCACGGCAATTCACAGCAAGAAGTAAAAGAAATAAATGGTTACTAATTAAAGAAATAAATGGTTATTAATTACTTTTGCGTTAAATAAAAAGAAAATTATTGAATAATGACTTTCTTTTTTGAACTTCAGTAAGTATATACATAACAAAATTTTTGAAGAGTGAAATTGCATTTAGGAATTTTTGATTAACTTTGCGCAAATTGGGTTTGTATGCGGTAATTTCTACCACTGTAACAGATTTACGTGTGTAATTTCTTATTTGACGGATTTACGGCACTAATTTTCACCATTTTTACAGTATTCGAAGCGTTGCAATACTAATAAGCAACTCTGTGCTTTCTTCATTCTCAACATATGGTAGTTATTTTTCTAAAAATATAAAGAAAACACCAGCTAACGGATTTTAGCAAGAAATCAGCCATTTTTACAAGTGCACACAGCAAATCATAAAAAAAGAGAAAAACTGCTAAATAAATCGGCAGTCATTAAAAAATAGAAAAAACCGAAATATCAACCAGACCAACATTTTTAAACGTGCTAAATAAAAAAAAAAAAAAAAATAAATGAAAAAGAAGAAAAACCAAGAAATTATCAAAAAAAAAGTTATAATGTATATAAGTTTGGCACAAGCAACATTCCAACAGCATCAAACGGAAATTCTCTTCTTTAAGGAACATCTCCATTCAACATACCAACAAAAAAAAAGGAACATATTAAGTCTTGAAGACGACTTGCGCTCAAATGCCGTTAATGACGACTAAAATAAAAGTTTAAATTTCTGGTAAGAACTTGATGAGAAATATTGCTCAGGAAATATAGATTTCCATCATTTTATAATCAAATTTAAAACAAGCCGCTAGCATGTTACCAACTGAACAAAAGGCATATGGCCGTTGTTAGATAAAGTGGAAGATCCCTTAAAGCTGCTGGTCGCCCGAGTAAAAAGGGACTATGTATTTTGTTGCCGTTCTGCCACAGGCTGAAGAGCTGTTGATATTCAAAGTTTGCTTACAAAAAACAAGGTAAGTAGGTAAGGAAAAAAATGAATATCTTCTTGTTTTGTTATTCAGCAAATTAACAATCGAAAATTCGGTGGGATGCGTAAAAAAAATGAATGTATTTTTTTGTTTTTATTTACTTAGGTGCTTATGATTTTCCTATGGGAACCGAAGAATTTTTTGAAAAAGACTTGAACGCGACTCCTCCTGATCGTCTATATGTGGCTGTGTATCTTGAAAAGTATAAAGTGATTGGAGAAACAGATAATAAAGTGGTCAATCTTAGAGTAAATATGACCTATGAACAAATTATGAAGCACTTTCCATCTATGAAGAATTTATGGATTAAATAGAAATTACAAGTTTATTAAAATTCAATCTAATATTTGTATTTATCCTTTCAAATGTTTGCTTTTTATTTATTTTATAATTTTAGACATTTTGCCATCTAAACTAGAAGAATGGAAGATGTTTGAGGACAGGCTGTGCGACCGTCAATTATTTCAAAAGAATTTTTATGAAAATTATCAAGAGACATTTCAACCTCCTTACCTATTTATCATTACATTGAACTTACATCGAGGGCCATACGCAAAGTTGTTGATAAAAGTTTTTTACCACGGACTACCCATAGAGATCGATTTGATATGTTAAGTTCACAATTTCGTATAATCGACCATACTGGTAAAATTATTACCGACATCCTGGAGCAATGATTAGCTGATCAAAAGAAGTGCTGCCTACGCGGCTCAGATAGTAGGTCCAATGCCGCCATATTAATATCCGATGAAAATGGAGTAATCAGCGTATCAGACGACAAGTAAGCGATGAGGTCAACATCCGTAAATTCTCTTCACTTTCACTTAGTAAGCTTAATTTAATTAAATTTTCGAAAGTATTGTTCTTAACATAACTCGCATTTCACACAACTTTGAAGATATGGTGAAAACGCGATTCCCGGCACTATTGGCCAAGTATTTGTCAGTATATGCCGTCAAGACTTACATGTATCGGTTATGTCCAAGATAGCTGTCAACTGTTCGTAGGTCAAGAAAATGGCACCATAACACAATATATAGGCTCGGAAGACTGCAATCGCCTTCTATCATTTGTGCGTTACTATTTAGCACATCAGGCTCGCATCGTATATGTAGTCTTTTTCTTAGGCGCACAACTTTGAAAACTGCCCAAATCAAATAAGTTGATAAGTTCCTAAATTATCAAATTTTCCTTTTATTTGGTTTTTATATACAATGAAGAAAATTTATTTAACTAATGAATCTGATCTGCTATAGGTGTTTTTAGTAAAAAATTCCATACAGCAGGATAAAACAGATGTCATAGAAACATAAAAAAATAAGTGCGCAAAATTAATCAAAAATTCGAAAATGCGATTAAACACTTCAAAAACTTCGTTTTGTTATAAAAAAGTGTATTGCTCTCTACATTTCTTAATTGAATCGACTTGACCTTAGTTTCATTATCACATTCGATGGCACGTAAGATATTGTACAAATCCTCTTTACCCGTTACAGAGATCAAATTGCAAAGGTCTATGTAATTGTTGGAAGAACATGAGCGCTTTGACTAGGCTGAAGAAAATTGCTCTTTGGAACTATTGCGGGCGTTGTCAAACAAAGTTTATTTACCGCAAATCTACTGCAAAACTCCACGCCGATGGTTTACGAAGTTATGTGGCGAAGAGAACCGTGAAAACGATTCTTAAATTCAAAGAGAACACGCAAAAAATCCTTTTCAGTGCTCCACCGATATTTACTCACTGCCTTTGCTGCCAATTGTAGTGACACAAAGTGCAGAGTATACATCAGGACAGGATTTAAAAGTCTACATACATGTTTACCGGCTCGAGCAACACATGACGTATGACATCATACTCTAGAGGAACCGGTTTAGATTCAGGACCTCGAATGTTTGAGATCAAATTTCTTATCGGAACTGCGTGACAGAATACAACAAGCAATTCTTTGTTGAAAGTGAACACTCAGGGTCACTTTTGCCATCAAAAGAAACCCCCAGGCCCAGGATATTTTTTTATAACCAACATATTGTACAGTGATGAAAGGAATCCTTTAAATGCCGATTATTCGGCTCATATACGCCAATGAGTGGCACTGTCTGCTCTTCTTTTCTTTTTCTCATCAAATATTAAAGATTGGGAAATCAATGAGAAAAGCCTATAAGAAAGTGTCCCAGGATTGCTCTCTATTTTGTTAAATATCCCCGACCATGAAAAATTTCCTCGACAATGCAAACATGCCCGACCATGAAAAATTTCCCCTACGATGCAAACATCCCTGACCGTGAAAAACTACTTTATACATTTATATACATGTATACGTAAACATGAATGCCCGTCCGCACGCACAACTTTCAAATATCTACAGAAAAGCACAACAAATTCTTTGATTGTGTTGGTGTTGATTCTGTCTTCTGCTCTGTTTATCGAGTATTAAAAAGCATATAATGCAGTATTTGACAATACCCGTTGCAAATGAAATGAAAATAATATAAATGGGTAGATAAATAATAGACCAACTCTTCAGATCTGTGAATACACTAATGGAATATTAAATTCAGTATTCTCAATATTTAGGGATTTCGCTTCTAAATGTTTCACATCACGTCTCAAGGTCACGGGATTTGAACGGAATTTGATTTGATGTTTTTAAATACGTTCGCGGATATTTTTATGGTCGCAATGGATTGAACATATAAAGGTTTAAACTTGGGAGCAATGTAAATAATTTCTTTAGTTTATAATTAAATAAATTTTCCATTAGATTTTATTATTATTATCAGCCAAATATCAAATTCAAATTCTACATATTACTTATTCGTAGGCACAACCAAAGGTCTAATAACGGAGGTAGCCTCAGTGAATGGGCTAAAAATGCCAAAAGTTTATAAAATTTAAAGTTTAAAACGGCTCTAATGGAAGAGAGCGTGTGTTCGGGAAAGCGCAATAATTGGTTAAAAATGTTTAGTTTTATGATTAAAGAACATCAAAGCAAACAAACTAAACGGAAACGAGAACAAGGTGAACTAAAAAACTGAAAATTAATTTTGGAAAACATTCTATCTGCAGAAAGCAAACGTAAAGAAGCCATAGAGGCCTCAAATTAACTAACTACAGCTTTTGTGGAACATTTAAAGCTGAGAATAAATTGCATGCTGAATAAATGCTGGAAAAGCCCCGCACCAATTATGTTAAATAGGGCAACGTATTATTGTTTTTTCTTCTTTTTTTTTTTTAAACATCAACAATAACATCAAATTAATTAATAAAATCAAAAGTAATAATAAAAGTATCACAATTGTAAAATGTAAGCAGAGCGAATGCGTTCAGAGAGTTTATAATATTTGAACGATTTTACTCATTTACTCTCATACCGTTTGTTCACAAACTTGGCGGGCTTGAAATGTAACTGAAAAATGCTTCGTCTTATTTGTATATATTTTTGATGAGGAGTCTCTCTATCTTATAGAGATATTTGCAGATAGATTTATCTTCCCTTTATTTTATTTGATTTATTGTATAGAGAACATGCCAACGTCTCGTTTTTAGCAAAGTATATACTACCCCGAAGTCTATTTTGAAGTGCTTGCAAAAGAAATTTGTAAACTTCTTTCTCCTCTTCGGGTAGTAAGCAAATCAAAAATAGGTGATTTGCCGAGATCAGTAAAGCAGGGTCAACATGAGCACAGAAGTTCTTCAGGTTCGGTTCTGGCTGCGATAATGGTTTATAATTGTTAAATTTGAAAAGTTTCTTAGGAGATTTGAAAAATATATTGTTCGTCTAATATTCAAACTTTTAGCAATTGTTACGTGATATGAACAATGTAGCGCAGGACAGAGAAATATTTTCTGCTCAATGTGAAAGTTTGGAGTCTATTTAAGATTTTATTATATAATTCATACAATTAGGTATATCCTACACCACTTATGGTAGAGGGTGTACTAATCTACGTGACACGCAGAAAGGCTTAAGACAGACCCACCTTTCAGATCGATTCAGAATCATTTTTTAAATCGGTATGAGGCCGTCTGTCCGTCTGCGACTTCTTCATGCTACAAGTTGCAGCTTTTGAGATATCTTGATGAAATTTGATATACTGACTTGCTTTGACCCGAAGGCGAACGCTGTTGAAAACAGTTTGGGTCGGTTCACTTCTTCGCCCGCTACCTATATAACGCCCAGTTAAGAAAAGCGCGTTATATGGAAAAAATTTACAGTTTTCGAAATTCCTCCACAAGACTGGCCAAGTATTTCTGAATTCGAAATTAGTGTGAAAACTCTGTGTGTTGGCTGGGTCAGATTTTTGAACCACTATTCATACGACAAGAAAGTCTAATTTTCAAACCTTCATGATAAAGATCACACAATAAGAGTAAATTGATATAGAAATCAACCTTATCAAATTGAGGCCACGTTGGTCCATTTTTTAGATACATATATAAGGCCACATATAAGGATTCCTAGGGTTTTCATGAAAATTGTGTGTAACTTTTGATGTGTTATTACCAAAAGGAGTGGATAGCTTTATTGGGCAAAGTGGTGTAGGATATTTAATAGACGGCCTTGCCCGACCAGAATGTTCTTACTTGTTTCCTAAAAACAAACATCTTCGTTCAAACCTCATGCGTGTCGATGAGCGCCTGCATTAAACTAAACATACTTAGAATAAAAACTCGGGCGACATGTTGCGCCATCTTTCCATAAGTAAGCTTTTTGAGAGCTGGAATAGCCTTACGACGTTTTGGACTTTTTAATAAGAATACGGTTCTATAGTCCAACAATGACGCGCAAACACGCGTTTTGTGACACTAGCGAAGAATCCACAATTTTTTTTTTTACTGTTGCCTTAATAATGGAAGCAATGCTTTTTCAGAAGCAATGACTTACATGCATTTCTCTTAAATTTTTGCAAATTATTACTGAAATTGTAATGGTTTTGGAAATTTTTCTCACTCCACGTTCCTTGTTTCCTGCGGTAAAGTCACTACACCTAAAATCTTGGAATCAGCGCTCACATGCTTCAATCAACTGACGCAAACTATCAATGAGTTTCCGTAAGGAATTTCAGCAAAGCTTTCGAGGAACTGTGGATCAGTTTACGGTGCTCGCTATCGACTAAACTCAATATCGAATTTGCCTTTTGCCACGATAGCGTGTGAGCGTTTCCCCGACATCGGATGTAAAATATCATATTTAGAAAGCAAAAAAAAAACTTTATGTTTAAAAGGAAAATAAAATGGAATATCGTTATGAAATCGCCCATTTGACAAAATGGACTTAATTATGGAAATTCCATAACGTTGAAGTTAAATAATTATTTTCCATGGTTTTTATGAAAAGCGATCAATGGATATGGACGTAACGACAACATTTCTGGGAAAGAGACAAAGTGGAAATATAGGATTACTAAAAATTAAATAAGTAATTTGAAAATGTGACCTTCAACATTTGTTTGATCGATATGTGAACTGGGAGGTAGTGGAGTGGGCAAATCAATTCAGAAAACAGACGAGTTCTACAGTGACAAATCGCAAGCAGGAGGAAAAATATAAAATGGAAATAAAGGAAAAGATTTCTATTTTTATAATAAGTTCCGAGTTGATTTCTCGAGTTTCAATTTTGAACTCACTCGGATACAAAATTTGTATTCCATTTACAAAATAAATTTTTTGTGCAGAATAGCAATGATAATAACAACAACGACAATAGTCATAATAAGTATTAATTAAATATTTATAATAAGAATAATAATAACATTGATGATGATACACTAGAATGAACAAAGCACAGCACACCATAGATACAAAAGTTATTAAGATTAAGAAAAAAAGAATTTGACAATTGGAATAAATATTGATATAATCACTTCAATAAGCTTTGCTTTATTGAATTTTTGATTTTTTCACCAGATTTCTTTTCTAAATTTTATATTTGCTTTGTTTGTTTATTTACTTTTTTTCTCCCTTTTGGCCTTTTTTTTCTGTGCATACCGCAACCGCTGATGTCACAATAAATACAGCGAACGAATTGCCAAACGCAATCGAGCACTATCAACCCAAAATGCGATCGCATCATTTTTGTCTTTTTTGTCGTACGATAGCTCGATAGTAAGAACTGTAAACAGGCTCCATGTTATTAAGCATGCACCGTGTGTTGCGTTGTTCGCTAAAACTAAATATACCGCAATGTGAAACCTAAGAATCCAAAATTCTACACATACTACTTCCTCCCGTCCTCTTCCAAACTTTTGCTCGAACAATAACTTCTTTAAGTTATAAATTCATTAAAGGCTTTCGTTGTATCGTCATGTCGGGTTTGCAGCCCTAAGCGGGATCGCTTGTTTCCATTTCTATATATATTGGGTTAAAATGTTTTATTAATATAATATAAGAGCAGAGAATTGATTTCAAATTTTAATGGAAATAAACAAAAGGAAATCGAATAACACAAGAAAAACAAAAGGCCTAAATAAAAATACATCGCACGTCATTGAAAATAACATTCGAAATGCGTTTAAGCGAAGCCGCCTGAAAGGCAAGGCAAGGCAAGGCAAAGAAAATTAGACAATGTGACACATTTATGCATAGGCAGGCAGGCAAGCACACACATGATTGTCATTAAGCTGAAAAGTCATCATCAACTTAAAGAACTGCTTGTAAACATGCTCAACAACAAGCGAACAAGCCATCGCGAAATCGTGTTGCATTAACTAAATTAAACATGTACTCGCGTCTATGCAGCCAAGAATAGCGCAACTTGTCGAAGAAACAAACAAACAAAAAAAAAACAAGATGGAACAAGAAGTAAACCAAAAATAAAATATATTATTGACATTTTCAATTTCCTTTCACTTACTGAGTGCATAAGCAGAGAACACGTGAGTATGCGATTAAATCTGTGCCCTTTAAATGAATTAGCGATGCAACCGACATTTTGTGGACCAAACTCTTAAGAAAATCACTTTAAAGTTAGATAGTCAAATTGAAAATTTTGTCTATCGACTTTTTGAAAATCAAACGTGTAAGCAAGCTATACCTTTATTGTGTATTTTATATATTTTGTGTATATTCCTACGTGAGTACGAACGAGTAAGTGCGCTTGCAATATTCTCTGCTCTCAGAATTTGTTTATTTTCTCAAGAGCAGCGAATATAATGAGAGAGGACTTATAAGAGATTAACAACCATACGTACACTGAGAGATATTTCTTATCTTATCTTATCCAGTACAACTTCATTTTAGTGAAGGTGTTGAAAACTCTTCCGAGCTTGAAATAAAAATAAGCAAATCCCAAAAACAAACCCAGACATTCGATCCCTAAATAGTTTTGTATGCATGAATGAACTATTTCGGAATCTAATTTTTAGAATAATCAGTCAATATTTTGCTTTTACTACAAGATTATAAAAGAGATAAGGACCAGTTTAATATATTTACCACAGAAAGGAATCGTTGAGTTTCAAGTAATCTATCAACTGAACAACATCATATTGTTAGGCTTACCTTTAAGAGCCCTAATCGGTTCAAGTTTTTGTCTAAAAAGTATTCGTAACCATTATAAAACTAGGTAGTATGCAAAACTCGTCAAGTTCATTCCTTTCTATTAAGTGATGCTTGAGTATTATATATAGCGGTAAGCATGCAGAGACTAATGGCGCTATCCGGGTATCTCAGCTGAACGCAGTGTTGGCAGTGCCAAACCTTTTTAGAATTCAAAAGGGCGACTTTCGTTAAATGGAACCAATTTGGTTTTTGTTAAGCGAGACGCCCGATTTGGATCGAGTTTTCGTTCAGCGGGCTATAACAGTGTGCGGATCACACGGGCAACTTAACTTTTCCTTTCTTTCATTCCCTAGTTCGTATAGTGTTGCTTTAATTATAACAATCACCTCGATGTTTCTTTTTTCTGTTCTTTTTCTGTTCATCATTCCATGTGTAGCTAAAAAAAAACAGGATCAAAATTGTGATTTTGACATAGCTACCGAAGTGAAATGAAAACTAATCTGAATTACATTTGAATCGAACCGAAAGTAACAGAAACATGAAAAGACAAATCAAAATCTAAAGCATCGTTTTGTCCTTTGTCGTACATTCTTTACATGGTCTAATTCGAGTAAGTAACTGCAAGAAGATTATTTAGTGAATTCGCATTCCCGCAGGAAGTATATTCCTGCAAGCGGAGTTTGTTGTTCGACCTATGATCAGTTTTCACAATACGTCACGTTAGCAATGATATAACCGAGAGTACTCTACAGTCCAAGTATATAAAGTGTAATTTTAACAGACTTGCAAGATGAGGAGTAAATACATATATATCTGTTGACAATGCTTTGACTTCTCCATGTCAATGTAGTATGCTTAGGCTTTGTTTCACAGTACATCATGGATTTCCTGTGCTACAATATGCATAAAAAAAGCCTTTTTGAGCTCCATTTGAATGCCAAGAAAAGCTATTTGCGGCAATTTAGAGGAAGATGCTGTTGAATCGTTACCAGTGGCGTGTCCGAAAACTGCAAAAACGAAATGTTAACATCCAATGCAATTCGTTATATTCCGGGCGTCGTTATTTTTTGTGGATAAAATAAATTGCTTCAATTTAATAAAACTACCAGTGGGAAACGTTGTACGGAACAACTGATGCCACTACACCGATTATTAGATGAAAAACGGCCGGAGTATTCTAAAAAAAAAAATGTTCTCCATCAGAATGATGCGTAACATGAAAATTGCACACCCCTCGGACACATATTAAGGGCGACAGTTTTGAGAGCTCTTACGCGAAAACAGCATGCTGATATCTCCGCCAAGTTTCAAGTCAACTTTTTTGCACATTTTCTTAGATTCTCAGGAGATGCATTTTACACCTACCTTTTCGCTGGATGATCGTTTCAGTAAAATGCCCACTTGGGACACCCGCAATGCAAATTAAGCTATGAAATTTTGTTATATTCATCTTGGACTGGGGCTACAAAAGATTCGTTTTTGTTAAGAAAATAAGTACACTGCGTTCGCTTGAGGCCTGCAATGGAAATAGCTGCGTTGAAAGGGAATTTTCAGTCCAAGTGCTTAAATATATGGTAGTAGGTGCTGACTTGTTTGTAGATAAAGCCTTAACATTTTTAAGCGTAATTTGTGCAGTTGACGAATCAGTTGTTCTATCAAGACACAAATGGTAAAATCATACAAAACCTTTTGTATACTAAAAGCTCTCAGAAGATTATTGCTGGACGGTTTTACTATCCAAAAAAAAAAAAAAAAAAAAAATGGTACAACCGTAATGTTTGATTAGCTGGTAAAAAATCGCCGAATCACTTCTATCTCATTCTTGTATTATTTTAAGAAAGGAGAATGGACTATGTTAATCGAATCAGAAAATGAATGATAATAATCGTTGGCGTTTTACAAGCCGCGTTGAAGGGGCTTAAATAGTTCATAGTTCGAACAGTAGAATGATAAGTTAGTTGGGAGAAAGTGGCTCGACATGGCTGTATGTAAACCTAATGACGAGGTTACAACATTGACCAATCTAGCCGCAAAGGCGGCACCAGCTGCAAGCCTCCACTTATAAAGATTAATTAATTTTAAGCAAAGGAAAATTTGCAATTTGTACCCAAAGCGTATACAAGAAGTTTTTTGTGGACAGATTTAATTAAATCTATCTTGTCCTAGCAATGAGTTATGTACGGGTCTTCGAAATCAATGCAGACGGTCATTTACGAATGGAATGAAGCGAAGAGAGCCGAGCTGGCTATCCTGTGGATCTCCAGATAGAACAATTATTTCCATACACAAAACAATAGTATAAGTAACACCTTGTACAAAAACATTTTTTAAGTCAATTCTTTTTCCCCAGTGTATTTACTTAATCCACAGTTTGTTTGTTTATGGACTCTCTCTTATGAGAAGATTACTCGAAATTTTTCGTATGTTTATGTCATTGTCGTAATATTTGTTTTAATGTGTTAACGCGCTCACCCGCTTTTCAATTATATGGAAGCGGTGGAAGCGATTTATTTGGTTTAACACGAAAGCACAAAGCCTGCTGTTGTAGAGCCGGTTATAGTTAAACTGCAAATCATGGTTTAATGTCATTTCTCAAAGTGGATATGATAGGAACGAGCATAGTATGCACACAGTCGTCACAATCGTGGATATATTTGCGATTGAAACTTAGGAGGTACAATGTGTTATTGTTTACCAATCAGTCCAATCAGTTGCTGTTCGTACGTGTTGCTGTTGGGGGCTCAACGCGCTATCGGTTTATTTATATTTGTGTAATCGCTGATTGAGTAATAATTATAAATAATAAGTAATATAAGAAATAATAAACATTTTATGTAATAAGAGAAGAAAAACACCTAAATTTGATTAATTAATACTTGCTTCCCAAAAAGCATAAAAATAAAACATTTTATCTCGCGATATTGAAAAAGCAATAGAAGCTCGAAAAAATTATTTTTGCCTTGATTTGCTTTATTAAATTAAAAAAAAAATACGAAAAACAAGTTTTTTACAAAAAAAAAAAATTATTACTAAAAAAGATTTCAAATAAAAAATATTTTTAAAAATTTAAAAAAAAAAAAAAAACGAAAATTTGGAAAAGAGTAATAAATGAATAAAATTATCTTGCAGTGCAACACAAGCCGCAAAATAACATAAATTATTGTCGTGCTGTGCAAAGACAACGCGAAGAGAGATAAGATACTATTTTTTACCACAAAGCGCTTCAATTTTTCCTTTTTTTTTTGTTTAAATGTCGTTAACCGTTTTATAGACAGTAAACGGTCGGTCGATCATTAGTTTGGTTGCGTTTTTTGTTTAACAAAAAAAGAACGCAAAAAATCGAAATCGTCGTAAGATAAAAAAAATTATTTATGTTTTCAATTATTTGAAAAATCAATAACAAGTAAACCTTCGGAACAACATTAACTACTAGAGTGGTTCTATGCTTTTTTGTGTTTTTTTTCCTTTTTTTTTTCTTAAATCAAGTCCGAGCAAAACAACAGCAACAACAACTAAACAAAGCGAAATCAAGTCAATATCAACAACATAAATAAATTACAACAAACTCTGGCAGTTGCTTGTCTATAATTGTGTCACTAACTAATACAATAGCAACAACAGCGATAATAATAATAATAATAATAAGAATAATAATAATAATAACAACAACATCGAGATAGCAAAAGCAACAGCAGCAGTATTTGAAAAGAACTTTTTGGCAAATAACACAAAACAGCTGTTTGTACTGTTGTTGTTTACGTAGAAAATTCTTCTATACACAGATTTAAAAAAAAAGTGGTTTATTAGCTGCTCCTTAAGCTCCTTATTTCTAAAATGAAAACGGTAAGTCATGATGAAGTAACGGACTGTTACGCAGTGCTTGAGATGAAAATCTTATCAAACGAGAGAATTGCAGTAAATTTTCGACAATTTTCTCTAATCTGTTAAGCTAACATAAAACTAAATCGAAAATTTAAAAATCAATATTGAAGTATGCTATGCCTTAGAAGCTAGTGCTTTAAGACTTTAATCTTGGAATTTATTCCTGTGACTCATTAATTAACGGTAATAATAATAATAATATTTACTTACTTATATATGAAAGGTGCCTGATACTGACCTGATATATGTAAATTTTCAAATATTTACATAAAGGTATTTAGGTAAGGTTGTAGTGTTAATTTGTTGGATGATTGATTCATATCAGACCTATCATCTATAATAGTACTTTTAATAGAGAAACGGGAAGCTTCTTAGTTATTGGATTGAAATCAAAACAGGCAGGTTAGAGACAAATGTCGGGCCACATGATGGAATCACTTCTTCGCACTAAACATTTCTAAAGCTTCTTTAATATTTAATATTTTTATAAATGAACTGGCATTCACATCAGGACGTTATCCCTATTTATAAATAGAGTATCAATCGATAAAGAAGGACAACAGATAGAAATTTTTGAGTATTCAAATATTTTATAATGCGTTTTCATCGCAATATCCCCATAGGCTTAAAATAAATTACTACCGCTGTATCTAAGACATAGTGTTGCCTTATCTGCACTCACTTTTCGTAGTTTCATCTTTACGCTTTATCTAACAGTGTGTAAGTTATTCCGACGAAGTGTATACAGCATACTCACTTCGATAGTAAAGCCGAATTTCTTCGTCTCGTTCTAATTTAGAACGATTTTCTTAGTGTAACCTTTTCTCAACCGCTCTAACACAATGAACTGATCATGGTGGAAAAGTATTGAAATCGAACTAATAATGTCGAGCGAAGCGTTAGAAAAAAGTGACCGCAATAGTATACCAGTATAACAAAGATTAGCAATGCCTTGCAAAACTATTCTAGTAAATATTAGAGACATTGCGCTAGATTACTGTAGCTAGTCCCAATAACTTTCCACAGGGAAATCGTATCTGTTGATAAGAGGAGAATTATATGTACCCATCGCTGGACAATTGTTTTGTAAAATATTTTTTTATTATTCCCTTGAAATAAGCGGTTTTTAATTCGTAGCCGAGGAGGGAAAGGATCACGACTAACAACTCAATGGTCGCGGGTTAAAATTTCAAGCGCAGCAGAGTTTGCAACACTGGCAACCATGCGATCTGAATTATCCGACAGCCTTAAACTCATACCTTGTAAATTTATCCACAATAAGTGGACTTTTTCATTAAAAAAAAGCAGCATTGCCTTATCCTGCGCTTAATGTGCAATTTTTTCGTTGCATGACTCGTTTAACCGATCCGGCTGATCTGCTGCCCCACTTTGGGAACCTTATTTCTTTCTTTCTTTTTATTTAGAGGCACTTTCCGGTTTCATCATCATTACCGTTACGCATTACTTGGATGTGAGATATTTTCCGGAAATGCTCTGCCATTCTTTGAAGGTAAAGTTTCGAATTCGTCCTTCGCTTGGTCTTAGAGGCGATGCCTTCAAACATCATTCTCATTAAACAATACATAGCTATGTTAGAGATAAGTAATCAGCATATGTTTAACAAGAGAATTGCTCAAGAAGAACAAGAGATAAAAACAGCACTTTCCCAGAGTTTCCAATGGTCTTACAACGTACATACAACAACGAATTCAAGCTAGTAATGCCTTTTGTATAAGAATATTAAGAAAACTAAAACATGGACTTTAGTTAATCAAAAGCGTAAGTGGATGGAGAAGACAAACTCATCTAAATCACGCAGTTCCCAGTTACGCAGTTGTAAGGGAAAGAAGGCAAAATAAAAGTGATGAGGAAAATGAACTCATTTTTAATGAGAGCTTCTCAACCGCCAAAGATCTGTCAGACCAAGGTTATCAATAAACTTTTCTGTTCTTTTTCGTCCACTTCCACTACCAGCTTCTGCATGTAGGAAGTAAAAGTTTAAATTACGTCTCAATAAAGTCAAGCAAAAAAAAAAAACAAAAGGTGTTCATATTTCTTTTCGTTTTTTATTTCATTTACATAGTTAGTTAAGCAAGCGAGTAGATTAAGAACAATTATGTACTTTTTCGTATACTTGCATAAGTCAATTGACAATTTTCTCTACTCTCCCGTAAAATTCGTCTTAGGAGTAAATTTTCTGTGATAAACAATTAATTAAGCAATTAATTAAATCGTTAAGAGCTGTTGAGCATAGCCTAACCCTTGGGTGACTTTACTTTTCAACGAAAGTGAAGTGCTCGCCATGCTATGTAATGAAGAAATGCTGATAAAGACATCAAGCAGAAGTAACGAAAACTTTAAGAGACAAGATTTCAGATCGTAGGAGTTTAAGAGGAAGAGCCAAATAAACAATTAACTTATATTAAATGTAGTTTGAATCAATTTAAAATTATTCTCATTAGAGCGTTAAGTGAGTAATAACATTCCAGATAGATTAGGAGAATTCTTGAAAGTGTGATGCTTAGGAAAATATTAAACTATGGTATCCTCGCCAAAATCCGATATGCTCAGTGTAAATTTTCTATAAAGTAAACTGTGTATATAGCACTGAAGCACTTAATAAGAGGCAGAGAGTACAATAGTTAAAGCGCATGCTTTATAATATTTAAAACTATAGCTCAACACAAAGCACAACGAAATGTGAAGAAAACAAAGTTAATGGATAAATAAAAGATTAGGACGAATTTTCGATACTCAACGTCTTATTGTCGTTGGAAATCGAAAATGGGTCGACCTTGAATTTGAGGCTCGAAGTCCACTTTTCAAAAACTTTTAACGTTAAATTTTATTTACTGACCCTCATCACTTTGACGGCCAAAAAATGATCAATCATTAAGTCATGTGAGAAGACCATGCTGATCATTTCTACACTACAGTTTGAAAATTGTCTTGCCATTAAATGAAACATGCATAAGTTCTCGATCTGTGTTCACTTTTCACTTACTCTCGGCTTTTGCACTCATGATTATATAGGCGTTTATGGGGAATATTTTACCAGATTTGTATGGAAAACATCCGGGAATAATTTCGCATATAGCGCTTGAGAATGTCTAAAAAGTTGGGCAAAAGGATTGCACAAGTTTTCTCACAGTTCCCCTTGCAACCGAGAAATTTTGTCGTGCATGTATGCAGGGTAACACACGAAGTAAAGAACTTAACATACCCTTTTGTTGCGATGGCAGGGCCCAAAGAAAAGTTCAATTTTCCGATTTTCGTTTTTTCAAGCAAAATTTTACTTATGTGGTATTTGTTACTTAAAAATTGTGTCGTTGGTGTGTATCAATTTTTAAGATTTTTCGTTCCGGTATGAGAAAGTGAATAGATAATAATAAGCGTGAATAAATAAATAAATAAATAATAATAATTAAAGTGGGCGTTTAAGGAAGAAATTAGTGCAAGCACCTTGTGACACAAAAGAATTAATGTAAATTTTATGCATAAGAATTAATGTAAATTATAACATATAAGAAAGTTAGAGGGAAAAGTGGATTATCGTCGATTGTGTTGTAGAAAGCAAAATCGATTAATTCGCGCGGCAAAGATAAATATGTGAAAAATAATTAATAAAAACGCAATTCTTGTGTTGCGTACACCTCGTTCTCATTGCCATTAATGCAGCCAACCGTGCATGTGTATATAAATAATTAAATGTGCTATAAATAAAAAATCAACCCACATACACACACACGTTCGCTTATTTACGTTTTCTTGGGTTTTTCCTTTAAGTGTCGTCTGTATTTCATATACTTTTTCTATATTTTATTGAAAGAAAAATTGTCGACCTAAAAAATAAAAAAAAATAATAAAAAAAATACAGAAAAAAATTGTTGCATGTCTCTACGTTTGCATTGTTTTCGGTGCAATAGTCCGGTACATATAATGAAATGTGTAACCACCACTGGTTTGTTTTGCTGTTGTTAACTGTCATTGTTTGGTGTTATGAACTCCATGTCTGTCTATCTATTTATCTATCTACCTATCGTATCTCTGTTTATAAGTCTTTCTCCCTATATATCCAAAAAAGCAGGAGTACTTACAATATACGTATATACGTAAGCGTAATGGTTTCTTTGCTTGGACACATGTGGACAATACGTATATATATTTATATGCAATCTTTTGTATGTGCTTAATATAGCGAAAAGTTTATTGAACTTATACCACCAACAACATTAAAACTGCTTGTGCGACTATATGCACTGAAAGTGTTTTCCAACTTATGTATTTTCCTTTAGTTTTGTTTTGTTGTTCTTGTTTGAGTTTTTTTTTTTCTTTTTTGTTTTTGTGTTTTGTCTTTTTTTTTTTTTTTTTTTTTAGTTAACAATTAACTAACAGCCGCTTGGGAGTGAGTGTGCGCTCACATTACGCTTTAATTGTTTAAGTTTTAGTGAATTGAAATCATAGTTAATTTAATGTACGTATAACGTGCAATAGAAGTTTTTAATAGATTGCAATGTGGGATAGTCCGTTATATAAATGAAGTTATAGTACAAAGTTTTACAAGCGTAGCATAAAATAAAATTCCGGGATCCAAAATGTTGAAATAATTTGAAAAAAGAAAGAAAAGGGATTTAATTCAATAAATGAAATGAGTTTCTATTCAGCGATCAGGTACGTGCTACCGCAAACAACAAACTGTTTTTGAGAAGAATTTTGGATACTCTTAAGGTAAATGGTGAACATTGCATGAAAAATGTTAAAAGGGTAATAGGCATTCATATTCATCCACACAATTCACACTCAAAAGCTATTGTTATCGTAAAGCTATATACATTTCAGTCAATGCGCTATTCTTTGATTTATTAATGTTTTGTGAATAATCGAATGTCTCTCTTGTCAGGTTTAGCGAAATAATTTATAATTTTTCTTCGCAATACTGAATAAATTCACACATCATTTAC